TCCGATCTTTTCAGTTACAAAGTTATTTCCTAAACCAAGAGTGTGACTTACAGAAGAACCCCTCAGTACAAATTATATCCACCATCACTTCCACTCCATGAACATATCCTTCATCCAACACATTATCAAAAACATATACATTTATCTTAAAGCCAAATAAAGCATTCATGGGCACACATTTTTGTAGTGGCCTTCCTAGAGGATGGGAAAACACTTAAAGCCAAATTGTCTCTTAAAATGCTTTGTGAAAAGCATGTATCATTCAGACCAGTGCATTCGCCTTCTCTCTTAATAGCCACATTAACAACTAAAGTCAACAGTTCCAAATGATATTTACAAGCTAAGTTCAAGTCAAATAATCACATTTTAGTAGCTATTCCGGGAATCCAAATCCCCAGACAACTTTGAAAATCTTACCCACAGAGTACCTTTAACATTCAATACAGGCATTTACAAATACAACCCTGGTGTGTTTTCAGTAGGAGACTGCCCGCACTAATGCTTCTGAAGTGTTACAACTCTTCTTACCAATATGCCACATTTCATCTACCACCATGCTGCAAAACAGCTCTGTGAGCAGTTACACTCCTGTCTTTAGAGTGATTCATTCCCTTAATTAAACGCTCTTGAAATATTACTGCTACAAATGTCATCAGATGCAGCCTTTGTATGAAAAGAAGATCAACAAGTACAGTAACAAAAGCAGAGCTAACTTTCTCAGCCCTAAAAAACACAGGAGCTCAGTTTGAATTATTTTTATTAACTAATGTTCAGTTCTAGAAAACTCAGATCCTCTTGCATTATACTGCAAAAAATGCTGTCCTTCAAAAATCCTTTTACAGAATTACCATCTCTTTATTCAGATGAGGATGACTAAGAAGTATCAAAACAAAAGCAAGAACTGATAAGCAAAACAACATAGTGATTGAGCTGTTATTTAAATATTTCAGTTCTATGTCACCCCAGAATTCAGTTTCTGTCCTAGACTCTGCTTACCTAGCTGAAGTGACTGATTCATCTAATTCTGCCAGTCAAGACAAATCCATACCTCAAAGATATATCTTCTGACAATAGGCACAGAAGTAAAACAATGTGTCAGTCTTCATGAACTGCTGTACTCTGTAGTCAGTGTACCATTAACACTAAAACAATCTAACAGAAAAGGTATAGGAGGAGGAAAAGGTTTCTAATGTAGAGAGACAGCGGTTCTCAAGATCAGAATATTTGCTGTACTTGGCAATTACCTGCCAGTTCTTCATTTGTATTTTAAAGGCCACTTTCTTTTTTCACAGGCCAAGAACAACCACCAAAAAAATTAGAGGGAAAAAAAAAAAAGGCAGCTTAAACACATAAATACATGCATCAACTCCTGAGATACAGATCTAACCTCCCAGTAACTACAAAGAGAAACTCACCCACCATGTCTGGATTAAAACCTGTGAATTACAGGTCCATAAATCTTAAGACTTCAGCATCCTCTTTAAAAGATTCCACGAAAATGTTACAAGTGTTTTAGTCCAGATTTCACAGGTTACATTCTAGCCTCTTTTGGATATAGTTCAGGGTCATAATTTTTCTTGGGGAGTTCCAAGAGTAACGGTGTTTCTTGCTATCTGGCACCTTTTCAAAGCACAGACAGCAGCTCTCACAGCCAATCTCATTTCCCCCTTGAGACACACGTACTTGCTTAGGTGATTCATGGTCATTCACAGAAAGAGGATACTCATTTCAAAATGGTTTCATAACATTTAGTTCTGCTTTCTGTTCTCTCAGGTTCCATATACTACGCATAAATGGAAAACTTCACACTTCCAGTTTGTTGCTAATGAAAACCTAACTACTGCCACTGAAAGTAATCTTTAATATCCTGTTTATTCAAAGGACTTACTGAGTTTGTTTTCTCTCCTGATTTACACACTAAGGTAGGAACATTTAGGGCACTGTATACAGCCTTGACCATCAAAAGTAGATAAAATCTGCACCAGTTAAAAAAAACACCGCCTGTTATTACTTTTAGGACTGATTATAAGATATGCAAAGAAGCTGTATTAACCTATTCTCATTACAGTGGTGCTACTCCCATTCCCATTTAAATCCCTAAACTGTGATCTTACAGACTCCGGACTCTGAAGGCAATCAGCTTTAGTATGTTCTCAGTTCTTCCAGTTGGGGCTAAGGTATAAGCTGAGATGTATGCTTCCTGCAGGTAACAACAGGTATATAGAAGTGCTTTGGATTTTTCAATAGGATGATTTTCTGGATTTTTCCAAATCAGAAAACTGCATGCCAGGAGCAATCCTGGCCTTGGGCAGGATGATGAGGCTCTTTCCAAACCTATATTTTGATTGCATGAAAAACAGACTCAAATGTAACTCTTCACAAGATCCACAGCTCAATTAAAATAGGTTATAATGGGTGTGTAACAACTTAGAAAAATGCAACAAAGAAGCATCACATAGATCTGAAATAGGTAGTTCCACAGCTCAGTCATCTTTGTGGTGTAGCAAGTAACTACAGCATCATTGTTTTCCCAGTTATTATATATAAATATGAAATAGCTCTCAGAGTACATAACTTTATCAGGATGACAATTCCTATCCAAGTCAGACAAGCACATCTGAGAAATAAGCCAGCAAGTATCTACTTTTCCACCCCCCACCCCCCCCCACTTAACTGTTCAGCAACAAACTAATCCACATGGTGGTTAAAAAGCTCTAGGGGAAGATAGCAGTGCTAATAGTAATTTCTCCCAATATGCAAGAGTAGAAATGTCACTTCCCTGTTTGGGCCCACTGTAACAGGTTTTTAGCATGTTAGTGTTCATTAGCTTTCTCCTCTTCAAGCAGGCAACACGTTTTTGAAGGCCGTAAAGGTGTTATGAATGACAATGTCTCCATTAGGAATCTGCTTTTGAAATTCATCTTACCCTTGAAATATAAAACTTGGCATTACCTTTCTTCAAGAATAAATAATTTTTAAAAAGTATATCTGCAAGTATCGGAACTAGCTTGAGCATGCATTTGCCTATAAAACAATATACAGAAATGAGACAAAAAACCATCAGAACAGGTAAATGCTGCTTTTTCAATAGTCCATAGACCTCAAATAGGTAATCAAAATAACTGAAGTATTTTCTCAATTATGTACGCACACACACAAAAAAATAACATTTTTCCACTTGTTTTTTCTTCAGAAAACTATATAGCATTATAGAACAAAATCTGTCATAAATGGAAATTGCCCAAGAAATGTGTCCTCAAAAACAAAGCTTCCACCTATGAGCACACCTCCTCAGATGAAACAGACCACAGTCCATAGGACTATCCATTAAAGACATGCATGTTTAAAGGAACAGGGTTTTACAACCCTGGCTACAGAGTCATTAAACTAGTTATGTCAAAAAGTTGGTTTCCATTTTCTTAATTTAAAAAAACAGTCATGTCAGAGCATGGGTAGAAATGAAAAATTAAATATACTCCCTTAACATAAATTGCATCCAAAGCATTTCTTCATCACTTTGCATTGCCTGTTGTACCGAGTTTTATGTTCTCATTAGGTCGTTGTTTGGGTATTTGGGAACTCAAAGATGTAAACCACTACAAAGCACCAAGTACTATTTTGCCAGACTTCCACAGCAGGGGATTATCAACAAGTGGAAATCATCTAGAAAAAGGCCCAAATACAAAACAGGTGCCTAGCACCTATTGCTAAACCAGAAGCAGGCATGGGAGCTCCTTGTAGTAATCACCTGTCAGGATGCAGAGGTGGCCTCACTCAAGTGACCAGCACGGGCTAGTTAAACGGAGGTCACATGCCATGACAGACCTTCTCTCTGGAATTTAGCTGTGAGCAAGAGCTCACCTACAAAATAAACTAATACTTGAGCCTCATTGCTTTTGCAGCCCAACAGGTCTATGCCCTTTACTGCTAAACAGAAAACGTGTCTGAAGTGCAAGAGCGCTAAATGAGATACAGCTCCTGACACAATCACTCCACGCGTTAAAAGAATCAAAACAGCTGAACCAAAAAGGGAACGAGTCAGAGGAAAAGAGAAAAAAAGAAAGGAAAAAGGTGCCTCCAGGTGCTCAGGGGGATAAGCGCCACCATGCTCCAGCCGGGGAGAGCCCCGCTAACCCAACCCGCCCGAGACACCCAGCGGGAAGGCCCCGAGGGCCCCGCAGCCTCCGGTAAAGGTTACAGCACGCCTGGAGTCCCTGCGAAAGGATGATGTCGAGGCCCGAACCCTCTCCGGGCGCGGGGCCGCTTCCATCGGCATCTCTGAGCGAGACGCCGGCAGCGGCGGCCCCGCCCCCTCGCCCCGGGCCTTCACCGGGGCGGCTACGGCAGCTCCGCGGGCCCAAAG